TCGAAGAAATTAAGAATATTTCGGAAAAAAAATTAAATTAATTTTTGATTTATTTCAGATTACCGGTTGATAAGTTTGCAGCAAACAATGCAATTTGGCAATATAAAGTTGATGAAATTCATTTATTCCGTTGATTCCTTAGAAAAGCCATAAGAAACTAATAAGTATTTTCTTAATTGATAAACTGATAAAGAATTCCATTTTGACGTATTCGTCTTATTGAATAAATAATGTTCGAATATTCCTTATGAACGCTCAACTGCGCAAACACCCAGCGAAGATAAGTATTTTCATAAGAACATTGATGCATTGAAAATAAAATTGCTATCGACCAGAGATGAATATTATTGCAAATTTGAAAATGCAAAACCATTTGCAATATTATTTGCCAAAGTAATAATAAAAGAAATAGGCAGAAAATGCCAAAAAAAATTTTTGTTAAGAGGAACGATAAAAATAAAACACAGAAAATATTCGCTGATAAGAGAAAACTGCTGGCTCGAATTCGGATTTCATAATAGTTTCGCTTTCATAGCTTCACTATACTCTTACCAACGAAAGCCGAGTGCTTCAACCATATTCAAACGCATTATAATTCTTAATAAATTGGAAAAATATTGCTGCTAAGTCATCGTTGTACTAAATGTTATTAATGGATCAGTAAATGGAGTCGAGATTGATAATGCAATTTCTACTGATGCTGCAAAGATAGATACGAACTGAGCCTAGTCTTTTGTGAAGAAATATGGAGTCCAAGCAGGTATGCCAATATGCAACCAAATATAATTAAAATCGAAAATAAAATCGAAAAATAAAAAATACTACATCGATCAAATGTAAAAGACTAGTTAGAAATGAAAATATAGCAAATAAATCAGTTATCAATTATCAATTTTCCACAAGTATTCAATTTTATCAACTGTATATTTGGGAAAAAAATTCTGTATGACAAGTCTTTTTGAGATAAATGAAAGCATTTGTAATAGGGAAATGAGTTTAGCGAAGCGTTGAGTGGACTGATCGAAATCACAGCCAGATGGCAATGACCAAAAATTATAACTGTGAAAACTTCCGAGATTAATAATCGCTTGTTGTTGAATAAATTGTATAATATGAATATCATTGAGTCCAGAATCTATAAAATAAGCAATTTTTATAAAAATTACAAATATTTAAGATATTCATAATGGTTAATTACAAATATTATAATAAATATTATATTTCCAATATATATATATATATATATATATATATATATAAAATAAAATGAAACAAATAGAAAATGAAAAAATTCTCTAAGAAAAAATTTTTATTAAAAAGTGTCGAGAAACTGTAAAAAACTATTAGTCGTTTAGTAAAAAGATCTAAAAATTTAATTTAAGCCAAATCAAATTCGTAAGGTCAATTCAAATAATTTTTTATAAGCGATCCAATAAATACAATTCTAATTCGTAAGACATAAAATTCGTAAGACATGTTGCTCCTGGATTCTGCTGGTAAAATACTAAGAAAATCTTTATTTATATGAACAGTTAGAGAAAAACCAAAAGCTGAATGAAGAAATAGAGAAGATAGGGAAAATAAAGGCCAAGGTAATTGCAGTAATAATTGGAGGACTTGGAACCTGCGATCCCTAAATTAAGAAAGTAGCTTCAGCAGAATCCAGGAGCAACATCCGAGATTTCTATCCAGAAGAGCACACTGTTAGAGACAGGTAAGATACTTTGCACAGCCCTCAATATTTCCCAGACCTTTGGTACAGAATCCAAGGTTAAAAATAGTCATAACCATCTACGAGTTAGAGAAAAAGTTTTTTTGTTATTTTCCATATTTGCATTTTGAAAGTTTCCACGAACGGATGAATAAGAACTGTATTTTTTTGTACATATTGCATACATAAAATTTTTGTATGTAAACAGAGCTGCATATATTTCGGAACATGGACACTGATGACTTGGGTGATGCTGGCAACTCATTTGTACTTCTATCGCAAAGAGACTCCCTGGGCACATTTATGTAGTACGACCAAGCCAGCGGAGCGACTCGAACCAGTAATGGTGAGGGTTCTTAAAAGGAAAAAAAAAAGTTCCTATGCAAATGGTTATAAAATAAAAAAATTGAAAACCTAAATAAACAATTCTTTGTAAAGATTCAATGAGCTATAAAGGTGAATGTAGTATCAATAAATATCGCTAATTCGCTAATCAAATAATTTAGCCTAAAATTTTTAATTTTAATTTTTCATCAGAAACTTATTATTAGTGACAAAGTAAATGGAAACAGATGGTGATAAAAAAAAAAGAATTGATGAATTCGTTTTCATTAAATGAATTGGTTAGTATTTGATTGCTTTTTTCATACTCATTCAGCACTCATCAATTTATTTATATCATATGATAAAAAAGAGCGAAAACGAAGGATAAATCTGAAAAAAAAATTCGGTAAACCAAAATTAAATAAATATTTACCAAATTTAAAGAGAATAATGATACTCAAGTACCACAGTTCCAATCGATTAAGTTTTAGTTCTTTAATATTTTCCACAATCGTTTTCACCCACATACCCGTTAATTTTTCTTCAAATTTATCAATTCATTACATATTAATCATTTTAAATTAATTAATATTATCAAATAATTGGAGCATCTGGAACTGTAATCTTAAACTGGAAAGTGGCTTCAGCAGATTCTAGGAATATCAGGGATCTCTATCTAGAAGAACGAACTATCAGGAACAGCTGAGATACTGGCAAAGTTTTTAATCTTCCAGGCCTCTGGTACAGAACTCGAAAAGATCATATTCATCCAAAGAAGTTGAGAAAAAAAATTTGTTTTAAAAAAAAAACTATCACTATCACTAAAAAACGTAGTTTATGGCTAAAGCCGATTAATACAGAATATAACGATAACGAATCGCAACCAATCCTCTCTATCTTTCCAGTGGTTCTTGGGCGAGAACTTCATCCATCTTGCTCAAAGCTCATCTATCTTACTTTAATCTCCTAAGCTTTTGCTAGTTAGTCCGAGGTTGACAATAATGCAAATCACCTACAAAGGGTAAGAAGATTTTATAAACTTTTATCACTAGTAGATCACCAGATAAGCAGGAGGACAACTTTTTTATATCAAAATTAATAAAAATAAATGAATCTTACCGATTTGATTAATAAAATTTGCAGCATAGTTCACAAGAAAAAGATTATGCCATGAATTTCGAATAATAATTGACCGATCATTTGCAGTTATAAATGAGAACGAAGGTGATACAAAAAATGATCGAGTCAAATAGATTAAATATTCAATGGTATTTATTTGCTCGCGGCGAGGTTTATAGGTCGTTAAATATTCTAAAAATAAAAAAAAAATAAAAATTTCTATAAAAAAGGATGGAAAATCTTTAAAAAAAATTTCTATATTAAAAATTTTTAAATAAAAATTTTATATACTAAAAAAAAAAGAATTTCTATAAAAAAGGATGGAAAATCTTTCAAAAAAATTTCTATATTAAAAATAAATTTTCAAATAAAAATTTTATATTCTAAAAAAATAAAAAAAGAATAAAAGTTTCTATAAAAAAAGATGGAAGATCTATAAAAAAGATTTTTTATTAATTTTCTATTCTATGGAAAAATAAAAAAATAAGTGGAATGGTTTTCATCTAATTCATCAATTATTGAACTTCAGTAATATTCTCTAAAATTTTCTTTTTATTTAGCATCAATAATAATTAAGAAAATTTTGAGAAACCAATTGAGAATTTATTGTTTCTCGATTTTCCATTTGTTTGCACCATATTCATTTGACGATCGCTCAATGATCTGAATAAATAACAAAAAATAACGAAAAGCAAAAGCAGTAAAAGTAAAAGTAAAATTTATAAAAGTACTACTATTCAGATTTTTGCGTGCGAAACTTTCAAATTTCCATTTTCAAATTCAGTGGCGAAAAATTTTCAGTAATTAGTAGTTATTTAATCCTCTTGAAAGAATATTGTTGTTAAGATAAATTAAACCTAATATTTTTCTTCGTTGATCCCTTTACAAGTGTTTTTGAAACAATGCTTCTTTCATGTTGCACGGCTGAAAATTTCGGTTATGAAGTCGATTTCTGATAAGAGCAAATCCACAATTAAAGATTTTGTCCACATGATAGGAGGACTTGTGAAATTTTCAGAATTTGAAAAGGAAATGAAATGAATTTAACAATTTTCAACAAGAAATATAGATAATTTTATAAAGGTGATGATTTAAGATTTTAAAAAAGACTTGCAACATTGAAGTCTCATCGAATTGTATATTTTTAGTGGAAAAATGTCATTGAAAAAATTATATATTTTCGTAATATTATAGAAAGAAAGCAAAAGACGAAATTACAACACGGATGACGACAGCTAGAAATGCGCTCTTCCAGTTAACAAAATTTTTATGGAGCCGTCCTAAAATCACCATAAAGACGAAAATCCGAGTTTGTATAACTACAGTTCGTTCGATTCGATCTTGTTATATGTCTTCGATACATAGCCAATGAGAGATGTATTAAGAAGCTATCCTTTGATCGCTCACATCTTACTCGTCCAGCGAGCGGAAAAAATCACACTTAATTGCATCCATTTTTTGTTAAATACCATTTGCATTAATAGTACCAACATCTTCGCTGGTTAAGGAACTTTCTGCATCGTTCATCGAACATATTTCATTACTTGCTACGCCCTATGATAGGTGGTATTAAAAGCCAGGTGGACTAAACCGGGACTGATGCAGTCAGGAAAGATTTCGAACGTAGGTGGACCATTGATATATGGTAGAAAACTGATAAATGAAGAATATCACAGAAAGTATTTGGCTTATTCATTATATGAATATTAACTAATTTTTCCTGGATTTTATCAATATCTTTTATGGTTCCACTTTAAACTCTTCAATTGTAATTAAAAATTTAGATTATTGATTAATTATATAATATTTCCAGTATTTCCGCTATGGAATTTGGATCAATGTATTTTTAATGTATTTCCGGTGAGATTATAAAAATAAACGTAGTCTTAAAAAAACCGTGAGGATTCATTGAGACCGCCAAACACTTTCGAAATCGACATGCTTGACACTGATTTCTGCGTGTGATATCGACAACGCATTGTTGATCTTCCTTGCATTCATAATTTAATCGTCTTCTAATTGATCTGAATATTTCTAATTAGCAATTGATACTAATTAATTTCTTCATTTTTGTATTGTTCTTTTTTTTTTATTCGATTACCTAATGAAAAATATGTATATATATATATATATATATATATATATATGCGTGTAAAGAATAGATTGGCCACAGCCCTAAGCCATGAGATAATAGGCTTAGACTCTATATTCTAATTGTATAAAACAAAAAACACCTTTTAAAAAAACCGCGACATCCATCACAACTTTGTACTCCATAATGCCGACCTAAATTTGCGAAAATTTATAAATAAGCATTATTGAAACAAAAAGCATTATTTTGCTAAAAGAGAAAAAAATCATCGAAGTAATTATTATAAGATGTAATTAACATTACAATTATTATTATAAATATGTCTAATGTCGCCAAGTTCAATATAAAATAATTTTCTACAGTAGAAATAAAGCAAATTCATATCTCCAGATGGATTAAATATCCACTTTTTTTAAACTTCGATTATGTTGAACATCAAAGGTTCAGATTTCTTACCTCGACAAGTAGGAGGAAACCTATATATTAAAGAATGTGAACGCTGCTAGCAGATTGTTCTTCTATATTTCTATTGCTAAGCTAATCTTGTTGGCAAAAATTTTTTACCGCTTTACAAAATTACTATCTCCTATATACAAATAGGCCAAGAAAAAAAGCAAGAATTCATTTACATTATAAATTTGATTATTTTTTCGACATACATGATTTCTCTAACATGGATATGTGCGAAATGATATGATAACTCTCTTGTATTATCTTATGGGGATAGAATGAATTTAAATGCTCCATTTAAAATGCCAATGCCAAAGTTCTATTTCTCGCAGCAGTAAACCTGTCCAAAAATCCAGGTGATACTGGCTATTCATCTGCATTTCTATCACCAAGAGATTTCTTATAATATTTGTCCAGTGCGACCAAATAAACGGAACGAGTTTAACCAGTAATATTGAGAATCATTGAAAAAATCTATCTTTGTAAAACAGGTTAAAATTCAATCATTTGTTTTTCGGCACCATTTATTCATGGAATTCATTATATAATATAAGACCGTAGGATTTCTCAACTATTTCAACTAAAATTAAATGAGTCGAAAAATTTTACCACTTACCACTCGCTCGATCACCGCAAACACGACAAACCTCTTCTGGACGAAACATAAGAATTGTTTGAAGCATAACGACGGTGTGGTAAAGGTAAAATGAACAAAATCCATGTCAGAAAAAAAAAAAAAAGGAAAAGCGATTAACAATGGGCGTATATTATCCGCTAAATTCTATTTTTAGATTTAATCTTAAAGTGGTGAAAAATTTCGAGAAAACCGGTGAAGTGTTTTATTTTTCCCGTAAATACTTTTTACGGTAATTTTATCCGGTTAAAGTAGATTTATCATTCATCATTCATGCTTCTCTCTCGTTCCTTCTCTCTCTCTCTCTCTCCCTCTCTCTCTTTGTTATTAGCATTATGAATTTGAAAAGTCAAACGAGAAGTCCATTCATTCATCTTTCAGTCATTTAACCATACGGTAATTTTGAAGTTCAGTCATCTTTGATAAAATAAGCTTTCGTTTAAGTGAAGATTTTTAAGAATAATTGCAAATGGTGAGCAATGACTTGTGGGAAAGGCTTTCAATTTGTCTCCCACGATTAATGAAACATATTTTGTTACCGATCGAATAAAGAACTTCAATCTTTTCCATATTAGTCGCTTCTTAGCTTCGTTGCTATTTATCAATATTAATAATAATAATATTATTATTATTAGGTCGATTTTCAATAATAAGGATAAGGTTTGAACTACTTTTTAGAGAATTAAACAACATATAAATACAATTACATATTCTGGATTATATATTTATAAAAATATATAAATTATATACAAATAAATATATAAATTACATATAAATAAATATATAAAAATTAAATTTTTAGACTAAATATTATCAATAATAACATTTATTTTATTGAATATTATTATTTATTAAAATCTTTTTATGAATTTTTAACTTCTTTTTTTTTCAAAAGGCGCTTCCAAATCCTTGCGAAATCAGAATTTGGTTATATTATATTATCAAATTCACCATAATGATGATAAGATAATGATAACAGAATGGCATTTTAGTACCATTTAGCATTCGTATAAAATAATTTCTTAGAAAAATCGAATTCCGTGAAAATTCCTCATCATTTCTATTTTAGCTAGCTCTGCTGATTATAATTAAATTTAATAGGTAAGTTCCAATTGTCGCCTGGATTTTGCTTTTAATAAGATTTTTTTCCATTAGAAAAAAATCGAATTTATGATGTTTAACATAAGCCGAAGCAATTTGCCTTTAAGAAACAATAAAAAATCGAAAGAAAAAAATTTTTCTAATAGTATTGCCGATAGATAAATGAAATGAAGATACGAAAGAAACTGATGAAAAGAACCGAAATATTCAAGCGATAATCGAAGAAATTAAACATGGGAAAGAAATAATTTATATTTTTCACCACATGTCAAAACGACATAACCGCTAACTCTTCTCGGCACTAAACCTATGGATTTGAAACACTGCCTGCAGCTACAACTTTTGCATATCTTCAAGTTGCACAGGCCAATCCTGGTCCAATCACCTCTAAGACCTTCTTTGAAATATGCAATCACCTCTAAGATAATCGAGAAACTCTCATTTAATAGAATCCAACACGACCTTCATGAAAATACGGTAACTTCACGTACGCTTTGATATCGAACGCACCGACATTCCAGTGCGCTTAGATAGTGATAAAGCGCTTCAAACTTCAAAATTTGTCCCAAATTAATAGAATTTTCATGCCTCTGATTAGAAAAATATAATCAAACTTATCTGACCGTATATTAATGATTTAAATATATGTGGGTGGTATGGATCACAGGTTCAGTCCTCTACCAGATGACTGAAAGCTTCAGATTTCTGCGCCGCTTAGCTGCTTCAGTGCGCTTTTCCCTGATACTGTTTCTGGAATCTGTAGGAACCAATTTTCAAGTTGAGGTTATATCTAATGCCTCTAATGCTCTTACACCACTAATGGGACTACTTTGGCCTTCGCTTTCCAAATATCTGGTTTCGCTTTCAATCCCTGGTTCTTTAACTTCTCATATTACTTTTTTATAAAATATAAATTCTAATACAGCAATTCTTGCGAAAAATTTAATCTTTTTGAACAAATTAAGGAATTAGTGGGTCAAAAGACTCAGAAAATCACCGCTATCTTTTCCCCTGGATATTACAATTCTGAATCCACTCTATGCTCAATTTTTCAGATATTTTTAGAAATTACTTTCTGAAAAATAAAATTTAACAAAAAGACATTTTCATGTCACTTTTCACTTTTCATGATCATCTTGGTGAAATTAAATTTCTAGAAGGTCAATAAGTAAACTTTTTTAAAGAAAATATCAAAATATGAGCCTCAATTCTTTTTCATTCATTCCTGGCACCATCTTTTATGCTGCCACCTTTAACATGGCATGAATCAATAAGACCCAAAAAAGTCGTGGGAATTTCCTCTCTTCTCCCTCCCCCTCCAACTATGGCTAAGACAATAATCCAATATGTGTGTATAAATCTATATAAAGCAATAAACTATTGAAATATATAGATTATTTTAATGATAAAAACACTTTCTAATTAAACGGTAATTAAACTGTAACAAGGGATCAAAGACTTATTCTGAAAATAATTCAACAACAAATATCAATTCAAAATTTTTCAAATCCTTTCTTAGCAGTCTTTGCTTTTAGAATTTTCAACACGTTATAGCGGACTGTTTTTGAAAGTGGACGACATTCTCCAACTATTACGACATCTCCAAGCGATATATCTCTATAATATAATTGGTTTATAGGAAAGAATGAGAGACTGAACACTTTCTTGAAAATGAAACTTATATTGCCTTATTATAAAATTGAAAAAAATAAAAAATAAAAATAACCTGAATGCTGGTGAACAATGAACGGACATATTACGATGACGTTTTTCATATCGTCGATATTTTTTAATAAAATGCAAATAATCTCGTCTAATAACAATAGTACGCTGCATTTTTGTCTTAATAACCACACCGGTTAAAATTCGACCACGAATCGATACATTACCAGTAAATGGACACTTTTTATCAATATAAGTCCCCTCGATAGCCTAAAATAGCGAATAATAAAAGAAAATAATAAAAACGTAATAAAATATAATATTTCTCCTTCTCAACAGCATACCCTCTGGCTGAGGTACATCGAATAACACATATCCTTTTGCCCGAACTCTTGTTTCTCTCAAGGTGTAGCAGCCGACAAGTGAATAATATAAACCACACCATTTTAAAAGTAATTAATTAAAACTCAATGGAAATTAAAATTGGCACTGATAATGAATATAAAAACTTGACATCTTGGAATCTCTTGGATGCATTCTAACATTTTATACAGTTCAAACCAATACTTATATATTTCGCTGTGCAGTTACAAGAAGAATATAATATTTTACTAGACCACATTAATTAATTGCTAAAACATCCTAATAAAAACCAGGATTTGAAGGATTTTAAAAACCAATAAATGAGAAATTATACAGACACAATTCAATGCAACACCATGAGAATTTCCAGGTTTGCAAAATTTGCAAAAAAAAACAATAAAAAAAAGAGACAAATGAACCTCACGCGGTGTTTTAAAACCAAGACCAACATTCCTCGTATATCGCAACGGTTTCTTTGATTTTTTGCTTTTTAATTTTGAATAAAGAACGACGGTTGGTTGTTTTTGAAATGCTCTTTCGTTTTGTTCGGCCATATTTGCCTTTTAAACTGCAATAAATAATAAATTTTAAATTTAGCAATAATTTAGCAATAACAAAGTTTTTTCTAGGTTAATAAATTTTAGGTTTCAAAACGTCAGCGGATTACAACTTCTTTAAGCGCACAATAAACGCAATTAAGACGTGGACGAGGTACCATCACAGAGGAGGTTCGCAGGTACTAAGGGCGCTTTCTTCATTCTTCGTTCGCTAGATATTTCGTTACTAGTTAAGCCTTGTGGTGGATGATGTTAAGAACCAGGTGGTTCAATCAATACTGAGACATTTTTTATTTAAAAAATAAAAATAATTGTTCTTTAAAAATCTTTCAAAAAAATTCGGACAATGCTAACGATTTATTCGCCCTTCTAAACGCTAAACGACAAATAGGTGAAGCAGAAATTTGCCTCGAAAAAAAAACAAAATAAATTTTATGAAAACAAAATATTTTAGGAAAAAAACCATCGTTTTAGTTTCGAATATCTCAAAAAGTTCGACGCAAATCCCAATTAACTCTATTATTATAATTTTAATAATCTTAGCAAAATGATAGTTTTTCAATAATAAAAAACAACTATACTTCAAAGAACACATCAAAAAAACAAAAACTCCTAAAAAACGCCCAAGTCCACCACCCTAAAAGTGCTACACGAATCCGAACTAAACTGGCCGCAGGAAACTGTGAAATACGCCAACCGTAACTTGGACAATCGTTCAAAGAGTGAATAAATACTTAATAGCGCAAAAACATATATGGCTTTCAACGAACAATGGTTGAAATCGAATGTTAAACATTTTTGAGTTTAAAATGGTTTATTTAAATCAATAAAAATTAGATAACCAAAGTTTATCGATTATCAGATATCCAAAGTTTTTGTCGCTGATAAAACAGCTTATCAAGCAGATCATTGATAACGCAACGGTATTTTCCTAATCTTTATTAACTCAAGAGATTTCTATCATTATCACTAAATTAGTAATTCTAGTTTACCGAAAAAATTAAATATTCTCATTCTTTTTTATATGGAAAATTCGCTCCTCTCTAGCTGTGATTCGTTCGATTTTGCTTTATGGCTGCAACACATTGCAGATGAAAGTGGCGAATATTAAAAAATTATCTTCCTTTGATCAATCATCTCTAAGATACGTGACGTGTCTTAGTGAGCGGATAAAATCTCACATGATTGCATCCATCTTCGGTCAAATACCACTTGCATTAATAGTACCATCACAGAGGAGTTTCGCTGGTACTTTCTTCATTCTTCGTTCACTAGATATTTCGTTACTAGTTAAGCCCTATGGTGGATGATGTTAAGAACCAGGTGAGCCAATCACGATCTGGATTGATACAGTCAGGAAAGATTTTGAATTTATAGGTATACTAGCGATATACTTAGACGAATGGCTAATATTACTATCAACGATGGCAGTTTGGAAATATCCTTGTCCTTGTAGCCAGTATAGTTAGCATGACGAGTAATAGTGAGAGCTGTTAGGAGAAAGAAGGAGATTCTTTTCAACACAGCAAATCTCGAATATCCATTCTTTTCTCATGTAACATTGTAAAAATACAAATAATATAAATTTATATTTTCTCTTCATTAGCCTCAACTATTGATAAAAATAGGCATAGAAGAATTATAAAAAAAGATGCCTTAGAAATTCTTTTAAAAAAATGGAAGAAATGATTTTTGAGTATTGAAATGAGTGGAATTTATTTTCGCATTGTTGGTGAATAGCTCTAGCCAGGCTCAACTTTTTTTTTTTTGTATATTTATTATACAAATATTATTGCTTATATCTCGCATAAACTGTATCACCAGTTTTGATTTGCCCTTTTCGTGTTAACCTCAGTTCGGTACCAAGAGTTGCTTCATTCATCGTTTTAAATTCATCATTTGCATCATTGTTATGATAACTGAAATAAACAGACGATCGACTTAATTTTTATTTTACTAATTTAATTTAAGTTTATTCACTTCTACTATAGAGTACCATAATTTAATTTATTCATTTCTACCGTAGATGGAAAATTATTTTTCGAAAATATTTCCATCTTTAATTAACATTTATCGTCAAAGACTGTCTATATTGATATTTCGAATTATTTTGCAAAAATCCTTTTCAAAATCCTTTTTTTTCCAAATTAAATTTAAAAAAAAAACTGAATATTTGCTTACTCTCGTAAAATATCGATGTATTCTTCTCCTAATTCTTGTTCGCCGGTTGATGGATCGATCATCATTATATATGTTCTAAAAAATTCTATAAAAATATTTTTCTATTTTTTAAAAATTAAAAATTAAATCTATTAAAAAAATATTTAGCAAATTTATTATTATTCAGTATTATTTTAATATATTCGAAAATTTGTTTCAAATAAATAAATTAATTTCGATTTTTTATCGACAATTTATGAAAAAATGAAAAGAAAAAAAAGAAACCTTTTGCATGGAGCTTTACACTGAAATTCGGCTTGACCTATTTTAATTTCAAGCCAATTATCTTCGTCAAAAGCTGAACAGTTATCGACTACAATATTCGGGCGAAAATGTCGTGAAGTAATTTGTTGATCGACAACCAAATCAAAGCGATCATTTAATTTATTTATTGTTTCAGAACTAAGAATCATATATGGTTCAAGAGGAATATATGTTTGCTGAAAAGTTTTTTCTAATTTTTTCCAAAATTTAATTCAAAAAAAAAGCATTTGTTTTCAATTGAAAAACCGATCAAATTGGAATATAAATATAAATATCAAAAATTAATATAAATATAAATATTAAACAATAAAAATTATAATAATAATAAAATAATAAAAATTATAATAATTATAATTATAATAATAAAATAATAAAAATTTTCTTATGAAAAAATAGCTAAGAAATTCTTGTTTTTTTTTGGATCACTAATTATAATTTGAATAAACTAATTAATTAATTAATAAAAAGCCTTATAGAAAATAATTTACCTCACTTATTAGTGGATAGTTTGAAGTGAAAAGATTTTTTATAAAGCACTGGCAATTTGAAGACGGGAAACCATCCTTGCAATACAAGAGAGATAATGGTTCCTCAGTTCGAAGAACTTTCGATAACCATCTGCCAATTTCATAACCACATTCGAGTCCTTCTTGCTGTATTTTCTCATCTTTCATACATCTACGATTAAATATTTCGCAAAAATTTTTTCGTTAAATAAGAAAAATTATAATAATTTATATAATAAAGCTTAGTTTAGCTTAATTTGTGGAGGTGTATAGTTTCTTAATTCGCAAATTCTTGGCAATGAACATTTCGGCTTGACCTATTTTTAATTTCAAGCCAATTATCCATTTTTCATTTAGGCTCTCTTCATTAGTTTTCAGTAGCTAATAGGATTTGGCGCTTTCTTCACGTGGTAGTAAACAGGTACCACAGTACCGTCTGAATATATCGATACGTAGAAATTGAAAAGATTATTCAAATTAATTATTCAAAATTAATAATCATCGATAGAAACCTTCCAGTTACTGTTTTATTGTATTCAAGTACTTTAGCAAGATCCAAGGTGACTGGTTCTGTTTCAGGAGTTGACAGTGTAAGAACACCATTTCTGATATCACTATCAATTAAAACCATTCGTGAAAAGATTTCAGCAGTTACAAAAGTTTTATTAATCTTGTTGAGTACAAAAAATCGTCGATCTTTTAATTCACCACTAATGCCACCAATTTCATCGCATTCCATAAATTTTACCTTAAAAATAAAATTTTCTAATTTCCATGCGAATATCAATTTGGACAGGGCTCATCCAGTATTTTATTCAAGCCAGCTAGCAATTATTTCTCATGCTAGCAAAACCATATTTCGCTGAACTTGAAACCATTTAAATCTCATTTCTTCCTAAGGATTTTTTTCTATTCATCATTTATGTTTAAACTCGTTGGCTTGCGAGACATTTTAATAAGGATTTACATGAGAAGAGAAATAGATGTGGACCGTTAAGATTCTAGGATTTTTAAATTCTAGGATTCTAGGTTTAGTTGCTAAGAACAAAATATTGAAGATTTGCCAATAAATCAATAATTCAGTGAAGACATTCATTGAAAACACCAAAGAGCCAAAAATAAAAGTACCAAATATTTTTTATAGTTCTGCCAGTTAGAAAATTTTGAATAGTCAATTCTAATCTAATTCTATGAATGCAAATCAAAGAAAAACCTGACGGCCTCGAGCTGATTCAACTGGATAAATGTAGAGTTCAGCGACAGTTCCAACTTTAATATACGGATAATAATGATTCTTAATTAATTTCCTAATTGATTTTGTCGCATAATAAAGTACCACCGCTCCGCTAATAAAAGCGCTACCAATAAACAAATATTCACGTTTTATTAAACTCGTCATTTATATATCTAAATTTATATAATTAAAAATATTTAAATTATTAAAAATAATCGAAAAAATATGGATTTTTTTTTAACAATAAAAAATCATAAATCTTATAACAGTTTAAAGAATATTGATAAAATACTCGATTATAAATTTATTTCATCGTCCATCTCTTTAATCAAACCATTAATTATGCCATAAAATAAGGAAAGAAATTCTGTAAATTGTGAAATGACGGATGAGTACTTTAGTTTTATATGTTTTATTTCGGCAATATATTGGCCTTCATTTTATCTTATAGCAATCTCTTAAGGCCTTTCGATAAGCAATAGCAGCTGATGTGATGCCAATCTCAGTTAAAATTGATGCAATTACTATAAAACAATATAAATCATTTTGTTCATTTCATTATTTTTTACTTTTATTTTTCTTATTTAGCCTATCTCATCTTCGGTGAACGCAATCATCATCGGCTATGGTGGACCACCTAAGAGGGTCCAGGCTTTTAGTGAAATGAAGATTTGCATAGTTGAAGTTCCATGCATTGTAAAGCCATTTTTCGATTATTATTGCCGATAGATAATTTTTTTATTAAACGATAATCATATTTCCACTCATAAATTTCAATTTTTTTATTAAACGATAATCATATTTCCACTCATAAATTTATAATTTAGCAAAAATTTAAATAAATTAGCAAATAAATAATTAAAAAAAGAAAAAATTAAATACGAATTAGAAATTAAATTAAATAATAATTGAAAATTATTGCGTACTTTTCTGTCAAAATAAATAATTATTATTTAAAATGCGAGAAATATTTTTCAATAATTTTGAATTTTCCATGAATTCAAATAGCCGTAAATTTTTAATGAACCTTATTAGAGATAAAAAATTGTCTTATAAGACTAAAGAAAGAATCGCGTACTTAACTCGTTTCGAAATTTCATTTCTGATTTAAATTTCACATCGCAAATTGCAAATTCGAGAAATTTCAAAAAAGTTTAACTTTTAAAAAATCGTATTTTAATAGAATATTTATTTATCGATATTCTAATAAGAATAAAAATTGGATTAATAAAAATAAAAGCAATAAAAGCAAATAAAATAAAAATAAATAATAATAAAATAAAATGAGTGCTCGTTAAAATGGCCTCTATAAATTTCATCGCTCAACAGCTATGTTATAGGCGAATTCGAATTCGATATGATATTTCGTTTGAATCGTTAATAAATCATTTTCAATTCATTATTTTATTTCATATAAAATTTTTAGGTGAAAAAATTTAATAAATATTTTAAATATTTTAAAAATATTATTGCACAGACATCAAATCGATGAATTTTTATGATATCTTTTAAGGGGATTAGAAAAAAAAAAATAGTTCTGAAGTCGATCATTTATTTTAAACTAAATGAACGCAAAACACGAAAAATAGAACGAGCCAGCCGGCCACTCAGTCAGTCAGAAAACACTCGTTTCGTTTATAATTACATATATATTTTTATTTTTTAAAAGCTAACTCTTAGTTTATCAATTAATTTTTACTGTTTTTTTAATTTTTTATTTTTTAATTTTAATTGTTTTATTATTTTTATTGTTTTCTAAATTGAGAATTTATTATAATGTGAATGTTTTATTTAAAAATATTTTCAATATATTTCAAATTTTATGAAAATGAAATTTTTCGAAAAATATTCGAAAATATTTTTCAGTTTTTTTTTTTGCTTCTTTTTTATTGAAATAAATAAATATGTATTTGAAGGTATCGCTCATTACCATTTTTGCTGATATTCTCGTTTATTTTCGTCGGTTTATTATTTTAGTTGAATCTCAATTTAATCTCAGTCTCAACTTAATAATTTAAGCTATAAACCATTCTACTTTTTATTTTTAGATAAAAATATTGGTTGTTATCTATCGAGTTTCAATTTATAGTCGATTTTTAGTCAATTTCTTTGAAAACCAAAGGATTCGACAATTTTATTCATGAAAAGAAAAGAAAATAAAGCGAAACTATCAACAACAAATAACGGAAATGTTTTCAATTATATTATTATTGCTTAGTGCTGATAAGGCGATAACCAATAATGATAATAAAAATAATGTATTTGTTTTCAAGCACTAATAATCAAGTGAATATCGCGGCCCTTAAATCAATAAATTTTCTACACAAATTAAAATCGGGTTATTTTACAGATATTTTTTGATGTATTGTCACAAGAATTCTAAATATGAATGGGTAATTTATTAGATAATAACTGATTGATTCCACTCGACTTTTTTATTAAATTATTCATGTAATTATCATTATCATAATTATCATTCTTAATTGCTAAAAAAAATCATCTCGAAGCGCGTTAACCGTATTCCATAATATAGTTTGGGTAGAATGGCTCAATGGGCTGTTGGTCAATTCGGAGCACCGATGCTGAGGTTCTATTCCCCGCAGCAGTAAACCTGCTCAAAAGTTGGATATTTCGTTTTCCGATTTTCATTTTTCACTCAAAATTATAACGAAATAAACTCATGAAACATATATGATAAACTGATAAACCTTATAATTTATAAAATTAATTAAATAATTAATTAATTAAATAGTAAACTTTAAAAGAAACAGTAGTACATGTTCATAGTTCTTCTGAACATTAATTAATTCCTATATGATTGATTCAATTGATTGAGAATATTTCACCAAATAGGAGGTGCATGCGGATAGAGCTATTGCATAGTTGCTAGCAGCAACCAGCAACTGTTTCCATTTTTCGTGACATTTTCATTGCCATTTGAGAATGCAGATTTAAAATTCTTCAAAATCTATAGTAAATAATAAAAATATAAAATAAAAATATAGAAAATCTATATATTCTTCTAAAATTATAGTAATAAAAAATAACTCGATTATCATTTTCATTGATTTGCACTTCAATTATCAGCTTTGAATTCTTATCATTAAGAATTTTTAATAGAATTTTTAATAGAATTTTTCCTTCATTATCAATTCATTTTTTATCGACTAAACTAAGATTAGAGTAAACGTAAGTAAGAAATAATATTTCTTATTTTAATTTAGTTTTATTTTAATATTTTATTTACGAATAATAATTAATTTCATCGTGTTTAATATTTGACGCTTTGATTTATGTGTTATTCGAATCGTTCGCTGAAATTTTACCAATTTTTCATTGGGAAAATTCTTTTGAAAAAATTTTCCATAATAAATTTACTTTACATTTTGTAAATTTGTACGAATTAGAAGCAAATGCATTTTTCTTAATATTTCTATATAATAAAAAAGAAAATCCAATGAATTGATTTGATTCACCAATATTTTACGATTATTTCAAGTACTTTCTGGATGAATTCAAATTTGTCTGCGTTAATCCGTTCATTCATTATCATTACCATTATTTTTTATTATTATTATAATATTGTATTATAATATTGTTATTGTTATTATAATATTGTTTTTATAATTGTTTTCATTAATATTTTCATATTCTTATTATTTTATTATTATTACATTATTATTTCATTATTCCTTTATTAATGTTATTACGTTTATTTATTTATTTATTGAAAACCAACAAGCAGGAATACTATGTATTTGTATTAATAACAGTAGTTAAAATAAAAAATAATAATAAATGGTGAAAAAAAGAAAAAAAATATGAATAAAAAGAAAATAAAGAGGAAATTATAAAATAATATAATATAGTACAATTCGAAGCAACTATATTATATTTAATCAGATGGTAAAAATCGAGATTTCACACTTCCTGCATGATGCGAACTTTTTAAATAATATTATAAATGATATTGCTAATCTTTTTTTTAAAAAATAGCTAAGGACGATGGACAAATTGCATCGTTCGATAATTTATTCCAGTAATTAAAATTACGAATAAAGAATTCACGAGTCTTTAGTTTTATTATTAATTATTATTATTTATTATTATTATTCGAATACTTAGGTTCGAATCCAAACAAATCCTTAAATTAGATTTTTTAAAAAATCATTCAATTTTTCAGTTTCATTTCCAATTTTTATTTTTAAAAATTATATTTACGAAAAATAATTAAAATACAACACGCTATAGCGACTTGAAATTAGATTTATCACAATATATCTAATTTTGAATCGATTCTTTAAAAAAAATAATTATAAAAAATATGAAAAATGTGAGAGATTTATTTATATCGAAATGAATGAATAAGGAGAAGGAAAAAAATTTGATAGCTTTTTTCAAGATTTGCAACATTTGCATCGCTATTTAGTGTCAGCCGAGTTTAATATTTTAGAGACAAATATTTAACCACTGTTTTAAGGCAATGAAAAAAAGTACAAAAACGCAAAAAAAGTAAAACTCCAACAGCTAATGGAGATAACATCCTAAAAGGTGACATAAGTGGGGGGAGATCAATGCAAATGGCACAAAACACTTTCGCCATATATCTAACGCTGATAAGATACTTATTTTTATCAATTCATTATTTATCAACTAAAAAAATGAAAGAATTTTAATATCTCGGATCCATTCTTATATTAAATGGTCAAACGAAATTGCATTTTGGATGACCACAGGTAGAAATACATTCTCTATACCTCTATATGGAATCATCGAGAAATGTTCGCATTCTCTGCTATTGTGTTGTATAAATAGGAAACATGGCCATTGAAAGTGGAACATATTAATATTATGCTAAGTACCACTGATCACTCATATCTAAGGAATTATCGATAAAAAATTGCCTCAACTGAAAATAAACATTCAAAACCGTTCATTTATTTTTTTATTAGTAGAAATGATTATACTAAATTACTAAGGACTAATTCCCAATAAAACTCTTAGTTTTAAAAGCTAGTGGAACTAAATAGGAATGGCGTGCGCTAATCACTTATTTTCTTTCTTATTTATGGTACTTACTTACTTATTATAGTTCAATAATTTAGTTTTTTTTTTAAAGCAAAAATTGGATTAGAAACAAAATTATTTTAGCCATTTACCATTTATTGTTTTTTTTTAAAAAAATATTATTTAGATAATTGAAAGGCTATTAATTATTTTTTTCCTATCTCGTCCTAATACAAGATTTTAGACGAATTTTTTATTTTATTTTATCAAAAATACGAAACAATCATAGGTGAGTGTCTAATTCAACAGCTTTCAGCCAAGGAAATCAACTGTACGATGATTAAAAATCATCAGATTATCATTATCATTCCCATGTCAATATCACTTCCATGCTATTAATTTTAAATGCATGCAAATCCACCATTAAAACACAGTAAATTAAATACTATTCCAAGTGAAATTCGGAATGCGCCTTTAGTTCATTTAGAAAATAGCATTTTTTTCATTTCTTCAATGCGAATATAAATGATTTTTTGTTATATTTAAAGCAATAAATGGTATATAGTTTTAATTTTCTATTTCACATTGAAAAAATTGTCTTTTTAAAATTTTTTAAATTATTTTTAAGCTTTAAACTTTTATATAATCCACTTAGTGGTGGTATTCGTTTAAGTTCCACATGAAAAATTCGCGCATACACAATATTAGAGAAAAGATGGGCTATAAAAAAGAAACTGATGAATCTACTGATAAAACTGCTGATAAATCTGTTTTTTTTTTAGATAGCGAAGAAGAAAGTGGAATCATAGTGTTAAGTTCATCCAAAGATATTGAGAAAAGATTAAAAATTCGAGAGTGCAAAGCAACAGAAGGAGCTTCCTTGAATAGCATTTTTATCAAAGCATGTCTTATTCCATAAAATCATAAGGAAACATGAATAATATGAATAGCTTGTAAAGAATAATTGAGCTCGAAAATGAAAAAGAACTATATTCAAATAAATCAAACAAAAAATGATTATAGCGAAAGAGTAAAAATCCAGATAGTCGTAATTACTAAATTCCAAGATAACATTTATGATAATAGCAGCAACAGTAGAAATAATATTGACGATTATTGACAATGCTAACACTCATACCAAATTAAAAAGCAAACAGAAATATTTCAGTAAATTTCTTTTAAAAATTCTAAAATAACGATGCCATCTTAAGGATATATAACGTTACTGGTAACGTTATTTATGTGAATCGATGAAATTTTCATGAATGGAAATTAAAGTATGGCGAGAAATCATAAACTGGAAAAAAAATTGTATAAAAAATGAGGGAAGGAAAGCATTTATTTTTTATTTCGAAAAACTGATTACCGGATAAGCCGAATAGATTTTTCCAGTAGAATGCCACAACCGTTAACATGAAAATGACAACGTGAATCGAACCGAACCGAAAAAAAAAGAAAGCAAGTATAAAAAAAAAACATATTTCAGTTGTCGCATGAAGAAAGTAACATTCACAACATGATTGGCAAATTATAAAAAAATAGCTTCAAGTTCAAGTCGATTAATATTTTCTTTAAATAGGCTAAATAGTCATTGTACTGCCTTCTTTTCTGAAAATTTCCTTTGTATTTCGTAAATATATGAAATTTTCATACATGAAATTTTTCTTCTAGACAATTAAAAGCATCAAAGAGGAACGTTAAATGAAACAATAAGGCAAAGATGTGAAATTTCATATATTTTCAAATATGAAATTTTTCTTAAAATTATGAAAAAAAGCCTAAATTCATTTCTTAAAAATTTTGAAAAATACGAAAAATTAGAATTAGATGGAAGAAAACAGTGAAAATAAAAGGGTAGCTATTGATTGTACCTTTTCTCTGCTTCGCATACCGAAAAACTCTTCTTTTAACCAAACCACGATTTTTGCAATCCATAAATACTAAGTTCTATTCTACCATTATTCATTTCTAAAACAAATATCTCGGTAAAATGGACCATATATAGCTGAAATAAATTACCAAAATTTAAAAAAAGAAAAACATAGACACCTCTTCAAGGAAAGAAAATGCATGATAAAATCAAATTAGAAGCCATTCTTGAGCTATAAAAAATGATTTTGTTCGACTGCATGAATGAATCTTTTTTATCTACGAGCAACTTGTTTATCCAATTTTTTATAGCAAAATGTCATCTAATGCCACCTTAATTACCTTACAGCGATGAAATGGGGTCAAATTTTATAAGGTAAATTACAAATTACATCTCAAAAAAAATTACATGAAAAAAACGAATCACCAAATTATCTTACCACGAACATCCGAAAAGCCCTACAGTTTCCTCATATTATTATGTTAAAATTCAAATTCAAATTCAAATGTAACTCAATATTAACGGAACTCAATATTAACTCAATATTACAGAACGGAAAGTAATCGAAAGTAAGAAAATTTTTTGGTGCCTTAAGTCGACTGAATTATTAGGTGCTGGGTGTAATTGCTTGCAAAAATATGATTACATTCATTGTTTTTCTTTTTTCCTAGTACCAAAAGAGAAAAAATTTGCAAAAAATAATGGAAAAGTTCACCTTATCATTTTTTTTTTTTTTTTGCTGATGGATGTGGCATTCTGCTGCGGAAATCTATTCGATTCATCCGGTAATTCAGTTTTTAAAAATAGGAATACTTCCCTTTTCTTATTCTTTATATAATTTTTTTTCCAACTAGGACTTCTCACTATATTTTTTATTATATATTTTCATTGCCATTCTTTAAAATTTCCTTTCATCGATTCACGCAAATTGTTGTCACCATAAGGACCTCTGGTGATGTGATTATCGTAGAATTTTTCGCTAATATGATGTTTGCCTTGGTAAATAATAGTTCGTCTATTGTCGATAGTCGTGATAATACTACTTTTATTATTCGTACTATTGCTACTATTACCATTATTTTAATAATTGCGAATATCTGGAATTTTTCTCCATTATCTGAAAAATATATTTTTATATTTTCATTATTCGTTTGATTTGTTTGAATATAGTACTTTTTCTTTCCCATTTTTTTCATTCTCATGGAAACTCAATTATTCTTTGCAGTATAATTATTTATGAGAGGAAATATGTCCTTCATAATTCTATACCTCAGGTGTATTAATTATTTTTTTTAACATATTAGCATCAACAAGGAACCTGAAATGAAATATTAAGCAAATTTATGATATCAAATATAAGTCAATAAAATTCTAATCTATCGACAATAAAGGTAACTGTTGATGCCAACAATGATGAAAAATCTTAAAATAATCTCAACAAGATGAAATTAAAATATAAAAATTTATCACATGTAATTTGTTTTATATAATTTTATATAATTTCATGCTATAATTTCATTTTTTTTTCTGCAATAAATTATAAAAGAAGGTGATGAAAGTGATTTTGAAAATATATTGTTAAGATTAAGGGAAGATTAGAGAAAAAATAAAATTACACAAAATTTTTCGGAATAATAAAAAAAATAAAAATTACAATTGTACTTCATGGAGAATAAACGTACCTTCTGATTCTTAACATTTAATTCCAAAACATTGCTCGCAACACAAGCCATTCTAAAAAATTCACAGCACATTCCTTTTCTAGAAATTCTTAGAAATGTCTTTTAAATTTGAAATTTATTTTAATAAATTTATTTATTTATTCATATATATATAAAAATAAATAAATATATTTAATCAAATCGAAGTCGCTATTAAATGAAATATATTAATAATATAAGAAATGAAAAGGAAAAAGTGCAAAAAAAGAATAAGTTAAAATGTAATAAAAATATATATTAAATATAAAAACAAAAAAATTGAAGTTAAAATATATAAATGTAAATTAAAATAAAATAAAATTAATAAATAAAATTAATAAAATTATAAAAATTAATAAAATAAAATTAAATATAGAGCAGCAAGCAATTTTCAACTCGAATTCCTCTAATTATATAATCGCTAAATTTGAATTTCTCGTGTTTCATTTATTTTTCTAAGATCCAGAATATCTTGCATTCCTTGCCATGTTTCAATTATTTCCATGCTAAATTCAACTGGGGCATTGAATGGCCCAGTTGGTTTTCGTTCAATTCGGAGCGGCGATACTAAGGCGCTATTCCCCCACACAAGTCCAAACGATACTGGTGACTCACCTGTGTAGTTCAACCGTCAAAGAGCATATTTATCTAGTGCCACAAGTGAGCGGAAATATTCTAACCAGTAATGATAAGAGCTCTTAAAAAAAGAAAAAAAATCCACTAAAATCAATTCGACCAAATTGTTTTTCGAAAGAAATTACGAAGCATTTAATAAACAAAACCATATAAAATATATTAATAATAATATAATAATATTTATATACAATACAATATAATAATAATATTTAATACATGAATAATTATATTAAATAGCATTTTAAATAGCATTAATGGTTGATAATTAAATATAATAAAATACAATAAATATTATAAAATAAATAAAATTTATAGGATAACAAATGCCATTTTTATCAGTGTTCACCTAAATTATTACAAATAAGAATTATCATTATTATCATAACAGTAATAGAAAAAGCGAATAATTGTTGCTTAGGAAATTATCTCGGGTAACGAAGAATAGAAGCAATCTGGCATAGGGAAATCTAGGTGATGTAAAACTTCTTTTGTTCTATCTCCAACTCTCCAACCTTAGCCTCCTCCTAGCAAAGATTTCTCACCGTATATACGAACAACCTAATAGCTGTACGATTGTCTTATAAAATAGGCAAAAAATAAAGAACTTTGATATCATATAACTTCGGTCTCAAATTATCATGAAAACCCTTCTAAACTGGTACAAGCAAAGTACGGAACCACAAGTCCGAGAAATCACCTCCGCTTTAGCTCCTTTTATATTATTGAATGCAAGGAAAATTACCGTTTATATAATTTCGTGTCAGGAGCGCATAGAGTTTGAAAATATTTTTCATTGAGAATGCAGCCTTAAAATAACTCCAGCCAGGTGTGAAATAGGAGTAGAGCATTTATACAGTTGATCGTTTAACGAATAACCTTTCCTACTAGCCGCTGATGCATCATGCACTATTCTTAATTCTGTAACTCTGTTTATCCGGAAAAGCAACCGGAAGATGTGGAATATAATATTTAAGATACGGTGTTTCTGAAGGAGAAGGTTATCTTATCGATTATCTTATCATCTAATTGCTCCTTAAATATTTGGTTATATTGATGCCTCAGGCTTGCATCCTTTATCAGTTTATTGCAAGTGGATATCAATCTATCAAAAGCAAGACCCAGACTCGATTTTGGAATCAGGACTTTTCCAAAGCCATTAAATGGCAAAAAAACTTGACTAATTTCCCTGGCTGCTAGTACCATTAAATATTTTTGCTAAAGGCCACTGAGCGATAGAAATATAGTTGGATATTTCGTTTTCCGATTTTCACTCAAAATTATAACGAAACAATAAAATCAAAGCTTTAATTTGATTCGATTTTATTTGGAGTTAAAAATTTTAATTTATTTTCGATAGTTTTATACAATTGAAGTGCGTTATTCATATTAAAATTAATTTTTCTGGTACCATAATTTATAAATTTTAAATTTATCAAATTGAAAATCAACGAAGCCGGGGGCAAATTTAGTGCATTTTATTTGCATAAAAAATAAAATTCCTCTTGTTATATACTATAATCAAGGAAAAGCCGTATTCCCAACGAAAGAATTTTTGTTCAATAATTCGATCTGATTTATGATTATTTTCCCGTAGTTTTTATCATAACAATAGCTCTTCGGCCACGTAGTGTATTCCACTGTACAACTATAATTATCAACCTGAAATAATAGAAAGTTATTTGTTTCTATTGAACGAAAAGAATTTTAGCGAAA